TATATATATACATACATATATATATATACATATCATAAAAATAGAGTTGTACAATATTTCCTCTCCATTTTACGTTAAAGTCAATTAATGATTTATTAAAAAAAAATCGCTTGTCTTTTTATCATCTTTACAATCAGAGTGACGTATCTATAACTTGAAAATTTTTCACTAGTTCGCGTACTTTTTTATAAATCATACATACGTATATAGATAGAACACATTATCGAACGTATATGATAGGCATAATTACTACATATATATCATGATTCGATTAATAGCCATTTGAAGGCTGAGCATGCACGGACAACGCTAATATTACGTTTCGGTCCTCGCATCGAGGAAGCGCTTTCGTACTGATGTTTTATTGAAAACGCGTCCGAAGCGACGAATACGAAATTTCGTCGCGAAATCAAGACTGAGGAAGAAGTTACGCACTATGCGAAAATTCTCTAACAATTCATCACTTCCTTATTTTTTTCCCATATATAAATAATCATATAGCCTATACGATCTCGATTAAATATTGAGTCATTAAAGATATCCATGGATACAATAAATAATTCAATAACTAAGTCGAAGGCTAATTTCCAACATTTGTAATCAAAGTCTTAAATTCTTTAAATCAAAACTATAAACTACTTTTCCTACACTCTAAAAATTTCAAAGGAAAGGTTTTTAAAAAATTGACATTTAATACTTCATTATTTTGTAAAAATACATGTAAATAAATATACAAACACAGATGCAAAAATATTATTTCATTGAAAAGGGACAAAAAAGAAGATACTGTCATAAGCTGAAAAATTACACTCTGTCTAAAGAGGTCAGAAATTCGCAGACGAAAGGATTGTCACTCGATTCATATCGACACAATGGAAGATCGTATGGAATCGGAAATATCGGAACGGCTGGATCTTCTTCATCTTTAATAGGAAATGTTGTTGTCCCAGTCTGAATACAAACAACGTTCAGATGTAATAATTAATGTTGATTGATTAAAACATGCGCCTCTTTCTGTACATTTCTATAATATATTCATAACATTTAACATGTCATAAACTATTAAGTAATATGATGCTTACGATAAGTTTTGGTATGAATATAATGCCAGCTTCGTAGCTCATTATGTAATGATTATTTCGTTGGACTCCCCATGCAGCTTTACTTAGATTTGCACTGGTAAGTACAAACCAGGAAATGCTTTTCAAATCGGGCGAAATTCTTGTGTAGGATTTAATATGAGGCATCGCACGATCTCGTCCTGTTCGCTTGGCTTTCCATTGGCTATAGAAATAAATATCAAATTCTATAGAAAAAAAGGATTGCTTCTAAGAAATAAAGATGAATAAAGTAATAATAAAACGACTATAACTTACTATAAATAAGATTCTATCCACTGTTGTTTAGAATGCACTTTCGCACTGTAGGGCAAACAGCAAGATAAATTTCGACAATCAAAACTCTGCTTGTAATTCTTTATCGAAGGATAAATAAACTGGAAGTGCGGATGACTCTTTAAACCCTTTGTAGTCTCCCTCGACATACATGGAATTATATCTTTTGACAACCAACTTTCGAAGTTTGGACCAAGACTGCCTATGCTGGAACTCTGTGCAACTATAGGCCACTGAGGAGCATCTGGTGGCAATGTGGCATAACGCGATAGGACATGCGCCAATTTCTTATACCCCCAAGAATCGGCTTCGTTATCTTTGTGAGTTCCAGGAACAGAAGCAACGAGGAACACGTTCACATCCGAAAAATCAGCCTTCCGTATCGCACATATCCACTGCGTCAATGCCGGATGTCTATATTTATTCAAATATCGCTCGAGATCCTTTTTAAATCCTGTTGGAGATTCCCCATCACTAGGATTTGCAGATTCTGATAGCCGAGGCAAGTGAGGCGAGATCCACAATCTAATCGAGATACAATAAAAAAAAAATTACTATGAACAAACATTATATTAATAATAAAAAATATTTAAGAATATTTAATAGACCCTTGTGTCCTATTTTCCCAGTCGTCGGAATATAAGTTAGCAGTAGAAACAACCACCCTGATCCCATTATCTTTATATTGCAGGATCATGATCTTCGTATGATGGCAACCAAATCTGGTCGGCATGTCTACTTCTATCATGGTAATGTTGTTGTTCAATTTCTCACGATCTACTCTATCACCGTACAGAATCATCATATCAGTACATTGACCAGCCAATAAATACTGCAAGCACAACCATCCAACGTCTACCATAAAATTTAAATGAAGACTATTAACAATTTCTCCAAGACTACGATCGAGAATCTCAGGGAATGTTATGGAAAACTGTTGATTATAAGTCTCCTTTGAATTTTCGATTCTCGTGAAGAATAAGTGATAAGGCGCTGAAAAGGCATATTTTATTGCAAACTCTCCTGGTTCTACAACAGACACTGTATAGCCAGATTTTCTCATCATCTGAATAGCTTTTTTCCTAACTTCCTTCCTTGATTTTTCGGAATCACAGAATTGATACATATCCATGATAGATGTTCCTGAACTTGTATTTTGCTCATTGTTTCTAGAACTGCTTTGAGAGTTATTAATATTCTGCTGACTATCCTTAGTGTAATTGCTGCCTTCTATGCTCATCTGTCTCATCTTCTTTGTAACAGAAGAGCCAACTTCTGATGCTTCCATACTTCTCTTCTTTGCCTAATAAATAAGCTTATATTTACTTATTTATTTTCCATAATGTAAAATTTACAAATTTATTCTGAATTTCACTAACCTTGATGATTTCTGTATGATTCTTATGTTCTTCTCCAGTCAAAGCTCTAGAGAGTGCCTGAGCTTCTACATCCATCTGCTTAAGTTTATCTTGTCTCCTCTGTACTGTAGCTTTCTTATGTCTTTCTACTTTATCCTTCAAATCTTCTTTAGTACTTGATACATTAGTAATAGAAGAAGATTGTGCTTTAAAAGATGAATTATCAATTCCAGATAATTGGTTGTCCTTATTTTTGTTTCTTTCCCTTCTAAGTACTATTTGCAATACTTTCAATTGATCCAACAATTGTGAACGATCATTACATGCAAAATGAAGCACTTCTGGTATTTCTATTGTGCCATCCAACTGATTTACCAGTAATTTTTCCACTGAAATTAAAATGATAACTATTAATATTATTCGATATAATATGTGTAATAAATATGTATAAAATTAATATTTAAAAAATATACAATAAATAGTTACAATGAGGATGTGACATTTCACCGAAGTGAATCGGATTTTTTCGATAACATTTCTCCATAAAAGGGCAAAGTTTTTTTTCTGCAAATAAATGACAAATAAACAAATAAATAAAATACTTCAAAATCTAGAGAATTGACAGGTAACGTTTATAAATTCAATATCATCACCTATAGAATTCATTGTTGTCAAATAGAAATTGAACGAAGGAATTTACACAGGAAACGTCTATGCTCGACGTTAATCACGAATAATTGACTAACTCTAAATTTCTTTATATCTTTCAAATAATATTATGTAAGCATAATCATATGGAATTCCACATATTTGACAAGAAAGCAATAAATGATTCCGCTGAAAACGTTACTCGTCCTAGAACTCTATAAACTTACAGGAGAAACAAACTGAAGCAATACGCCATCTATAATTGCTTTGGAACTGGAACTTCGTAGCCAGATTTCAATACTGCAGATAAAATCATTATGTTATCTATAATTTCCTATCATGAAACAAAACGGAATAAATTCCGATTAGAATACATTTTGAATAAATAATCCATAATACATTAATATACATATCAAGAAATATAATTAATCAAATAAAACCAAAGTTACATGTTTATGCGCTCAAATAGGACGTGTATAATCAACGTGTATGAATTAAATGAAATGACGAAATCTTATAAAATTTGAAATCTACAATTATACAAGTATGTGCATTATCAAGATATCAATCATAAAACTTTTTTCTTAGAATGAAAAATGAAAAGTGAAAAATTTCTCCCTTAACTTCAATAATTAAAATTTTCACTTTTCACTTTTCATCCTAGGGATAAAGTTCCATGATATCCCGAAAGCTGATTTAAGGTATCTTTTCATGCTGATACTCGACGCTCATTTTTAGCATCAAATAGGTCTCATAATCGAAATCGATCTTTGATATCGTCAATTTTTATCACGTGATCTGTTTTCACACTAAAAATTAGAGTAGGTATGAAGAAAATATCGATCACCGGAAGTCGTCATTTGGTATTTTACATCTAGAATTATACCTACATATATATATTTACAATTCTTCGTTTTAACCTCTTCTTTCTTTAACATTGCTTCTAACTAACAGTAAGGACACTTATGTCTATTTCTATTTCAATATAGATTTAACTTTAATCTCGGTTCAACTTATTCTTTGTCTTTTTTTAATCTTTAGAATTAGAACCGATCAGCATTAGGCACACACATTGACGCTTCTCTCTTTATACCTACTCTATTAAAAATGAGTGTCAAACGTTAACACAAAAAACGCATCTTTAATAAAAGCTTGTATCCACAATGTTAGAAATTTTTTGGTCCGAATTCTAGGACATAATTCTCTACAAAGTTCTCTTATCTCGAATGATTCTATAATGTCGATTTAACCAATAAATCACTGGTCAACTATTCTTGTTACAATCGGCAGTAATTGATTTTTATTTACGGCTTTATATTTATTGAAAGTCCTTATTGTACTAGTTATTGTCATAATTTTCTAACCTTCAAATAAATATTTATTTTAATAGAAACGTAATAAGTTATTTATTTACATAAAAGCATTTGTGCAACGTGTAATATTTCTTCATTTACAAAAAGCATAGATATAATAGAATATAAATGTCCAACGATTGTTTTAGTGGATCATACTACAGTATAACTATATACAGTAGTGACAGTAGCTGTCGGCTTCTTTGATGTTGGCAGTCACCACGATCTTGTGACTGTCAGTCATGTTGAGAATTTTACGAACCGCTGAATTTAAACGATATCAAAAAACGTTGTAGTATTTTTTGCATTTAAAGTATTTTTTAAATTCGAATAAATTCTATATATGATTTTAGATATATGATTTTAGACCACTTTACTTTCGAAAAGATCAGAATAGAGAGAATAAACGATCATTGACTTGAAGAAATCTGAAAGAAAGGGGTTTAGTCTTTCGTTAAAATTAATTATATGTATTGTATACGTTTATTTTAATTGCATTAATAGATAATCAAAGTCAAATTAAATTGGAATTTTGTCATTTTTTGTTTTTTATGTTTTAATTAATTGTATGTAATTAAAATGTACACATATATTTGCATGCCATATATAACAGAATAAATATTTGTTATTTTTTTATTTATAGGTTTATTTATAGGTTTATTTATAGGTTATCTTGTAATGCATTCTTTACAATATTAATATTGATAAAAATTTATTTAAAATTATATGAAGCATTTTTAAGTGTTTAAATAATTTTAAAAGATCTATAAGTGTTTTAAATTTAAACATTTTGACGTACACTATCAATAAAAAATAGCTTACGAAGTAAATGTACATTATATAATTATCTAAGAACAGTTCTTCAAACAAGTAAAATTTTTACAAATACATTTGTTAATTCATATAAAGTGTTGATATCATCTTTATTTAAAATCTTGAAAAATCTTGAATGTTTTAATTCTTTTTGGAATTTTCATCAGCAATCTTCTTAATCCATACTAGACTTCGCGAATAGTCAAGGTAATCATTCGAAGGTTGCCAAAACTGTAGTATAATTTGTTTAAATTCATATACTTGAGATATTTAAATTCAATCAATAAAATAGCGAGTAACTTACCCACACGATCGCGAAATCTCATAATGAAACTTTGATGATATATTAATATTCACAACTAATCACATTTTATGATACATTTTATGTAGATTTGTTTGAATTCTGTCCAAACCAGTTCGGAGTGACGAATGTCTAACGAAATGTTTAAATTGATAAAGGTCGGACCGACGAAAAACAATAAGTCATAATATAAAATATAAAATATAAAGATAGTACATTCGTACTAAATTGCTGATTTTAACATATTTAACATATATAATGTCATAATCATGTCATAGATATAATAAATATCAGGACAAAAAATTATTGTAATAGTTTAAAATATAATTTAATACAAGAGTTAAAGCATCAAAAAAAAATCTGAAGAATAATCAGTCAAAATTTAATACATCGCATTAATATTTTGCGTAAAATTATTAGGTGTACAACTTTGCTTCCGCCGTTTTCTTATAAATGGCTTTAGCGGCAAGTGGTGATCGAAATAAATAGATCATAGACGTCATACAATAAGAGTCTATCAACATAATCCCATAGAAACATTAGACGATTTGTGTTTGCATCATAAAGTTATTCTCGATTGAAAATGTCAGTTTACGAGCCAAATTTTCGTCATTTGTGGGAGGTTTTAATTTTTTGCTTCAATATGAAGAAATCTGCGGCTGAGGCTCATCGAATGCTCTCAAATACTTATGGTGAGGCCGCTATTAGTGAAAGAACGTATCGTCAGTGATTTCAACGCTTCAAGAACAGT